TTGGCTGTGTGGCTCTGCCAGCTCTTTGGAGCGGGTCGCTGACCTGAAACAGTTGCTGCTGGGGCTCTTTACATCTCAGATATATTTGGGGCAGAAGGTTAGTTTAGATTAATATCATCCGGGCCTGGTACAACACATCTGCGCTATTGAGAGGAAACACTGTTAAATAATCAATGCGATGCAGACACTGAGGCAAAATCTAACCTGAGCATGTATCAGCAGGTATACGTGTATGTGAATTGATGGAGCAGTCCATTTACTCAATAAATCAGTGCTTGGCCACTTTTGAATAAGTGCAGGGAGCATAACATGCCTCTCTGCTAGGTTGTGATTTAATTTGAGCTTTAAGGCCTTAAGTCATCTGACTAGTTGAGGGCATACATTGCATTTTTGCTCATGTGTGAAGTCTCCGTGACAAAGAGAACTGCATGAATGAGAAAAAATGTGAATGTGCCTACGTATATCAAGCTTTGTGGCATGAACAAGATGCTTCAGTATGTTGCTGTTTTCTCCCTCCCCTTTGCCTCTGGTTGGTTATTTTCTACTTGTTTATCACAGTGTTGTGGTTTTGGGCTAAGGTGAGATGTCTGGGCTGCTTGGAGTGACAATCACCAACTATCTGGGGCCACAGCATTGAACTGGGGGAAAGGGAGACGAGGGGGCTATGTTACATCACTGTTTTCATATCTTTTCCAAAAATAAAGGGCAAGTTTCATCTCAGAGGATAGAAATACTTTTTTTTTTTTTTTTAATCATAAGCATTTGAAACGCCTGAATTCAGTGTGCTGAACACAGCACGCTGTGTGTTGGGCCAAGAAATTGATTTGTAAAGCTGTGCCAATTAAAATTTCATTCGCTAGCGTGTGGGGCAATCACCATTGTGTCTACCGACAAAAACAACTTAGTGAAATATCACTAGTGTACGGTTCAAAAACGGTGAACTGCCTCTCCTCTCCCGCTCCCAACCCCCGAAATTATTGAACGGCGAGGTATCCCGTTATTAATTTAACTCTGATTTGAGCCGTCGCTTCCTGCAGCGTTCTTAGGGTGTTGAGGTGAGCTGGGCTCCTGAATCCCCTGCTGATCTCCCCGTTGTTCATTCCCGCCGATATTTTTTGCTTGGCGTTTTCTTCGTGTCAGTGTCCCTCCAGCTTCTAAAAGAAGAAACAAACAAACAAGAATAAGCTACCATGAGGACCGTATTGATTAGTTAGCTTTCTTTTGCTAAAGAAATCAAACAAAAGGGCAGATATTTTTTTCCCTGTGGTGCAAGTAACTTGCCTGGAAACACTAGTGGCATGAAGTGGTTGTTCCCTGTGCTTAACACTTCTGTGTCGTGGCTTCTAGAAGTACCTAGAAGAGCTACGCAATAACTCGTTAAATATCTGTTTAGCACCTAGCATGACTTGTGCTTTTTTCCTAAGAATCTGTATTTTTTTCCATAGCTTCAAAAGTAAATGACTTTTTTTTTTAAATTTGCTTTCAGTCAAAGAAGTCTGGCAGAGATTACAGAATTGATCCACACGGCCTTTCTGGTGCATCGTGGCATAGTAAATATTGGTGAGCTGAAGTCCTGTGATGGCCCGCTGAAGGATATGCAGTTTGGAAACAAAATGGCTGTTCTGAGTGGAGATTTTCTTCTGGCAAATGCTTGCACAAGTCTTGCGCAGCTGAAGAATACCAAAAAAAAAAAAAAAAAAAACCTGCTAACAAAGCAAGTAACTATTAGTGAATCATCAAAAAGAGAGATCCTTCAGAAAAAAAATACAAAGCATAGTTATGGTGTGTATGTGTGCATGTAACAACATATATGTATGGAACGTCCTTTAAAAGTTAGTATAGTTATGTTATAGCTATATATGGATTGGCAGGACGCTGCTGCGGTGGACAGGGTTACGATTATATTACAGAATTACTGTGCTGAGGCTTTTGGTGTATATTCTGAAGGAGCGCAGGCATGGATGAACGGGCAGGTTGGTGGATTTAAATATGTATGCTGCGGCATCCTTATGACACGTTGGAGTACACCACCTCTGGCAGACTGCCACCTGAAGACATGTTTGCTTTATTATTTTGTCTTCCCTTGCACCTTGTGAAAGGAAAAACGATTTAGAAAATTCGTGGGGGGAAGAAGCTTCACTTTTTGATCTACACAGTTCTCAGGTGACTTACTACTCTTAATGAAATTATTTTGTTAGGCACCTGGACACCTCTGAGTTTTGGCTTGTGCTCTAAACGAGAATGTACTGGCTTTTAAAGGACAGCTACAATCCAAGTGCTCAGCCAAACTGTTTGAAACTTTACAGGGAACGTTTTTCATGACAAATGAGTTGCTGTGTATGTATGTAACGTTAGAAAATGAGACTAACTGAGACCTTGAGGGATCATCTCTCTAGTCCGTTCCTCTGTCCCCAGACAGGGTCAACTATAGCAAATCATTCCTGACGTGTTTGTCTAACTTGTTCTTAAAACCTCCCATGGTGGAGATCCCCCGACATCCCTGTGCAGTCTACTCTAAAGCTTAACTACACGTATGGCTAGAAAACTTTGTGTAGTATATCTAAGGGAAACAGATTACAGTTCTTCTTTGCAGGGCTATTTTTATGTTTGAAGACTCCTGCCTTGTCTTAATACAAAATTTGTCATAATACAAAATAAATACATAGCACGTGTACAACAGTCAATAATCAACATGGTTTTAATTCTGAGCTGGAGTCTATTGTTTTTAGATTGTTAGGCTAAGTGTCTCATGATGGTACTTGAGTATTTGTATAATGCTTCTGTCATCAATGTGACAGTTTTTCTCAAAAAGTGGTGTCATTTTGTTACGTTGGTAGAGCTGAGATTCTCTGAGGAAAAGAGACAGAAAATTAGATGTTAATCTGCTGGAACAGTGGGTTAAGCCATTAGAACTGGTAGTAACTGTGAAAAGTGAAATATTTTAATTTTTTATACCATAACCACCATATGTTGTGATTTATTTTACTAACAATTGTTGACTTCTATCCGTTAATATTTAATTTTTTTGTACTTCATAAGATCCTCAAGACAGACCAAAGGATTTAACACTCTGTAATTTTTTATTTCAACTTAGAGAAAACTTTCATAAAATGTAGCCGCTATTACTTTGAATTTAGTACATCGTTAAGTATTGCAGCAGTATTCCCTTTAGACTTGCCAGGAAACAAGCCTGCAGTGAAATGAAGCACAAGCCTAAAGAAATTCTTTTTTTTTTTTTTTTCCCCCCTTTTCTTTCTTTTTTCCTAAGCAATCATTATACTGCATGTCGGAAATTCTGCCAAAACATTTTAGCACTTTTTTCATTTTTCTGACATCTAAATACTTTCATAGCTTCTACATACGATAAGTGGGATGCCATTATGGAAACTGATTGACTTAGTAAATTATTCTTTTTCATACGTCTACCCCTACTAGCAAAGTTAGAAAATTTGAAATACAGGCTATAGAAAATCTCTTGACAGGTGCAGTGATTTAAACATGCTGTATTTATTCTTTTGTAAATGATGAATTTTCAAATCTGGCATCTGTTTTTCAGCAGTGTGAAATAACTGTGACTTTTTTCCTTCATAATGTTTTGTTTTCTTTGGACTAAAAAGTAAAAATCATGGTGGTACTTTTGCTGGCGTTTGGTAGCTCAACAAATTGGCTAATGAAATACGCAGCATTATATTGTGAATGGTACTGACCGTGGTAAACTATAGCATCTATATAGACACGCGTAGCTGTTGCATATGCAGGAATTTAAACTAAAGAGATTTTTAACATTAATCGAAACCACTGCTACCAAGCTAATTTTATTGCACTGTTAAACTCTTGTTTAAGCTTGCGCATGATGCATTTATCTCTGTGCTTCTCTCGGGGCTGACAATTAGATGTGAAATTCTGCAGTCATAATGAAATGCAGAGCTATTTTATAATTGCCAAGGGTAAAATTAGCAAAGTCAATTATTTTCCCTTAGGCTTTTCCCTGTAGATATTAAAAAGCTGCAAGGTAATTGCCTTAGGTAACTCTTTGATTTTTAAATAACATTAAATATAGGAATTGCTGTTGTTAATTCATAGTAATTTTCCTCTTCTTGCTGCTGTTGTAGAATGTGACTGTAATGATGTTAACAAGACTCAAAGCTCAGGGTTTTTGTTTGTTTTAAACTAACGCTCATAGTTCTCATTCACATGTTTGCTAGTGTCATTTTGCAAAAGAAGAAATTTCTTTTCTTCTCACGATTTCTTGAAATATCCGTTAGGAACCCACAAATGGGACTTTATCTCCTGGAAGATAAATTCTCTTGTGGTACTGTAAAGTCATCTAAATTTTTATTCTTTGAATAGGGACAGTAATTCTGAAGAAAGCGCATTCTCATTTTCTATTTTGTTAAATTTCGAGACATTAATTATGATTACAGAGTAGGTATTGACTATGAAGCTTAAGATCAAGTACTGCAGAACAGATGCAACTACGTACTATGTTTTTATATTTGTGGTACAGTTCTACATTGATTCAGATAATAAAAACTGTAAATGAAGTGATTTCTTTAATAAACATTTACAACTAGACGGTAGTATGTTGATCAGATGAGATATTTACAGCTCTTCTGTACGTTCATCTTCACTTTTTGGTCACCTTATTTAAGCTCTTATCACTTTGTTGTCCGCTTAGTTTGCTTACGTTTTTAGCTGGTGACTTTTCTTGGCCTGCTGACTACAATGATAAATTATGTTGTTGCTTGAAGATAATATGGATATAACCTTATTTCAAAACTGTATCCTGCAATAGATTGGACATTGTTAATGCAGAGATATTTTTTTAGAACAGAAATGGGCCCAAAAAGGGATTTGCTTTTTATTTGTTTGGGATCTTTTATTAGTTGGTATGTTGGCAGTGCATTTAGGAATGAGTAGCCTTTGACCAGGACGGGCATCTTTGTTTTCTTCAAGTTAAATAATAAAACAGTAGTGCCTGGTAATGTGCTAATTTATTGGGTTGGAATGTGTTTATATTGGATGAGGAGGTTGTTTTGATAGGACTTCTCTTTTTTGAGGTTGCAGTGTTTTGATAAGATATTTGTAAAAGTCATTGTAAACATGTAGGTGTAGACGAGATGGAAAAGTGAATGAATTATTGTTTGACAAAGAAAATAAGGTACCTCCAAATATCTTCTAGGATATGTGGCCATATATAGTTTTCAATAAATATGTAAATAAATTATTTCAAAGTGTAAAAGGACATATTTAAGAGTTGGTTCTTCGTTGCCCTCCCCAGAGTGATATATCTTTAACATACACTGTCTTGTTCTGTCTGGACAAGGATGTGAGGATGAAGCTGCTGACGGGCACTTAGCGAAATTTGGTGCGTGAAAGTGCTGCTTGGAGTCTGGTAGCAACAAGTTACTTTTGTCTCTGAGTTCTGCTTAAGTAAAACTTTGACTTCCTATAATAATTTTAGGGTGGCATGTGAACGCAGATGTGAACATAGCAAAAGTAATGAGCATTAATTGGGTTTTTTCTCATTTCAAGTCTCTTTTTGTGAGCCAGAGATGCGATGCAGAAGTTTTAACACAAGTGAGGTGTGGATGGTGACCAGGGTGCTGTCTTCTGCAAGTAATGGGCTTTTTCTGCGTATGTCACAGATGTAAAACTGTCGAGAGGGTGCGTTAAAGATGTGATTGCGAGCGGTGTTGATGCTCCCACCGTTTGGAGACAGTGATGCGTAAAACTTCAGAGGATGAAAAGATGTGTTTTAGAGCGAAGCATGCTGTAATATGTTGAAAACTAAAGAATATGCTAAAATAATATGTAAGACATTGCTCGTAACTGCATAAACTGATAAAAAGGCATATAAAAAAAAACAAAACAACACCCAAACCCGGCGGGGGGGGGGGGGGGACGACACCCTAACCTAAAAACCAGAAAATGCATCTAATGGTAGCGTTGTTCATAGCTTTTACTGAAATGTTAAGAATGGCTCTGTTTTTTCCACTATAGTTCAGTGATCTCTTATTTGAATGATTAAACTGAGCACTGAAGCACTTTAAAATCTGCTTGGAATTGAACTGAAGAATCCTGTCTGTCAAAGCAGAGCTCTGCCAGAAGACCACGTTATAGAGCATTGTTTTATTAGGCGTTATTTGTTTATAAATAGACAGTAGCACAGATGCAATACTTATATAGTGGATGCATTTCCTTATGTTAACTTTATGTATTCCTAAAGGCATAAATATGTTGTTTACAAAATAGGCCTTGTGTTTGCATAAACGTTAACAAGTTATGCATGTAAATCTTCCCATTGCAATGATCTGAATGTGCGTTTTGCTTCATAAAAGAACCGCTTTGAACTGCGCTTTCTACTTATGTGACGTCAGTTGTGGTCCTGTAGAGAAGGCTCAGTTTTGCACCTGAGGGGTTTGGTCCTTTCCTGACAAGTGAAGGATACAGAGTATCCCCTTTCCAAAAGTGCGCCCATTACTTTGTTGATGTAAAGTGACGTTTCTGAGAATTGACAAACTTAACAGTTTTAATTTTAAAATGCCCTTTAAGAAATGTCGTGCCTGTATGAGACCTGTTTCTTTGTCTGAATGACAACCGCAGAGGAACATAAATTTTTTTCAAAGATTTTTTTAAAAAGGTTAAGAATCATGCATTGGCGAAAGAAGTTATTTTTGGGA